CTGTTCAGTTGAAATGGTGCTTGCTCATTTAGAGAATGTGGTAGTGACTAATTTCTTTTAGAAAATCTATAATGACGCGTCTCAAGAAATGTATATCTGGGTTGGAGACATTCATGAATAAGCATTATCCGATTCTGAATTGAATTTTAGCAATGGAATGGTACCAATCGTTTTGGGTGCCTACAAAGAGGACTACGAGAATGTTCTTCCACCTCATTCCTACATCAACGTGGATGACTTTGACTCTATTCAGGAACTTGCTGAGTACCTTCAGTTCTTGGACAAGAATGACACTGCTTACGCACAATATTTTGCTTGGACTAAACATGGTCGAATTATCGTAAATTCTGATTCAGATAAGATCTTTGGCAGCTTGTTTAAAACACACGTTTCTCTCAAAGTTTACTGCGAAGAAAAAATCACCGTCTCCATTGAATTATTAGAATTAATGGTTCCAAACCAGGCAAAATCTGACTTTTATCATCAAAATTCAGAGCCGATTTATTCCCTTGTAACTGGGCTATGATTAGATCAGAGTCGATTTGAACTAATCATGTGCATCAATTTGTATAAGTTCAAGGCGGTCGGCTATTGGTCAGAAAACTCGCGCATTGATAAATCATGTTTGAACTGTATACTCCATGACTTTCCGTGGTTGTGGCATGGATGACAGATTAACTCTTATGGATGGAATAGAGCATTTTTTCCTCTGTTTATTCCTAGAGGTAATGAAGTAAAAATCTCGCTAGCATTTTCAAAGTTTCATTTTTATTTTACTGTCCCGAAAAGATTTCAAATGAATTAGATTTATTATAAATTGCCAATTATGTCAATATTTGTAACGATCAGGTGACGACTGACAGGGATGAATAGAGGTGACTTCACTTTTGTACATCAAGAGGTCGTCACCTTGAGTGGAAATAGGGATCCATCGAAACAAAGATGACCTGGATCTGTGAAGAGTTGAGGATTAGGTTTTCGGAGTAACATATTTCCTTCATTGGTATTTGACAAAACTCCACAAAGTCGACAATCAGGTCTGTTCAACATCTTAAACAAAAGTAAAAATTGACTAGAGCAACCAGTTTCGCAATTTACGATAATTGGGCCATGTTTTGTCCAAGCAAAATATTGTGCGTAAGCAGTGTCATTCTTGTCCAAGAACTGAAGGTACTCAGCAAGTTCCTGAATAGAGTCCAAGTCATCCACGTTGATGTAGGAATGAGGTGGAAGAACACTCTCGTAGTCCTCCTTGTAGGCACCCAAAACGATTGGTACGATTCTAGTACTAAAGCAGGAAAAGGAAATAGCGGAATGTGCAGAGGAAGAAAACTTAGTTGATGATCCAAATCAGCGTATAATAAAATGACTTCTTCACTGCATTAAAAATGTTCAAAGTAAATGAACGAAGAAGTATAGAGAAAAAAATTAAGGAGTTGGGAGTTGTGCAGCTACTATAGAGATCAATGAAAAGGTCGAAATTCTTATTGCACTGAGGAAGATTTTTAAATTGAATAACTATCTTCAATTATGTCAAGTTCGGAATGCCTCGAAGTAAACTGCTTTGGTATGAGCAAGAAACAATTTCTATCACATGCAATTAATAAATGAGAGTAGTAACATACAGACATAAACAACTGATATCTTAAAACACACTGAAAACTCACACTATAGATGCAAGGATATCGGTTATATACAAGTAGCGTTTATCGTGATTAAAGCCACAAAGCACTCGAAATGATAATTGATTCGCGAAATTTAAGTAAATAAGTAAAACTATATTTCAAGCCAGTCAAGAAGCAATCCATACTGTATCGGATCAGTCAAATCACAGCATAAGCTGAGGAACAAATTGCACCAACTTGTGAGCCATCGTGTTGGTCAAATCTGAAAACACAACTCTCAATAAAGGATCGAAAGGATATCAAATATATAGATGCAGATAGAAGTATTTAAATTGACAGAAATTAAGAAATTCAATTGAAAGTGGCAATTACCATGGAGATCTTGATCACGAATTTTATTGGAGCAAACTTTTGGCATACATCGAAGATAAACTGGAATTTAACATAAAATTACTAAAGCACAAAATGATTGCAACTATATTTCAATTAGGAAAGCACACCAATATGATCCTGGTCTGAAGTCGATTAAGTCCGAACATAAATTCAGAATTTGTCAAATCGCCAAGATCCTTATTTGACAACAACATACTATAAACGATTAGTTAAAAAAATTCGATTGGGAATATTTAAGTGAAAATTGACCAAAGACAAAAAATTACTTCGATAAATATACGCCGACAGCTACTAACTGAACGCTCCAGAATTCCTACAGGTATAATCCAAGCGAAGGGAGACCAATTAGAAACAAATTGGAAAGAATTCTATCACGCTAAAGCCAACACTTGGCGATTCAACATGGTGACTATAACTTGGCATTGAATTGCAGTGTCCACTGTCTAGGATTACCACAAAATACCACCTATAATGAATGCCAATCAACCTAGAGCAATCTCACCTTACAAATACTTCAACTTCTTAATGCTGTTCCACAATCCAACCGGCACAGGAGAAATCAACATAGTCTAGAAATGATCGACGAATAATTCAGGGGAAGTAGATTTTCTGCAGCCAACATTTGCCATAACTGTAAGCTTAATAATACTTAATTAATTACTAATAAGGACACAAATGCACCTCACCGGCCAGCAATCATAACTAGACACAGATAAAAGCCAAAGAAGCATCTGAAATCGGAATCCGTAAATGGCGCAGATTTTGTAGGTCATTAACAATTATTTAGCTCCATCAAATAATTATGACTATTGAACTCAATTTAATGCAATTAATAAGCATAATATATTATGCTGAGAGAAGTGTTAATATTCAAGATGGTTTTGCATAAAATTCAACGAAATTTCATAGCTTTGCATTGACTTTGCAGTAATTTCAGATGTGCAATAAAGTCAATAAAAGTTCGTCTTAAACATTTTATCTTAAATTCAATTTTAATGCATCCATACAAAGTTGTATAGAATGTTTTCGTTGAACCGTCTGTAGGCAACAGTGATTTTTTGGGTAATTATATTTTTTCTTTTAAAAACAACTTTATCATGGTTCAGCAAATCCAACCAAATTTGAAATTTTTAATTTTTTATGAGTTTCACTGTCACATTAAAAATGCATTTCACTTCACTTATGCTGTTAAATTATCTAATATTCTTCAGGTAAAGCAGCCATAATTAGTACCCATAATGAAAAGTGCTAAAGTCGAACATTTCATGCCTTTTACAATGCTCATGGAGCATATTATATGTGCACGATAATATAAGTTATTGTTTTAAAATTTGAATATGACTTGCAAATTGTCTAATCAGGAAATCTTTCGAATTTTAGCTCATAAATCTAATTAAGTCATATGATTGATTCAGACAAACTTCTTACATTGCTATGATATTCGATTTCGTTAAAATCGTTTGGGTAGGAATTTGGCAATATTCCTAGCATACTTAAATATATCAAGAGTATTTTTACTTTGAAGAATAAGAAATTATATTCAATATTTTCATTACAACTTCCTATTAATATAGCATTGAACAAACACTAGTACTTATCAAACTCAATATCAGAAAACATTGATGACATTTTACCTGATAAAAAAATTTAGTAGTAAGTTAAAATATACTTGTATAATATCTATGCGAAATGATGGGTTAAAATTTATCCATCTATCTCATATATATATATATACATATTTATATATTTATATAGTTCTATTATAAAATTGGAAATGCGGATCAGAATTGCAAGTAATCAATCATGAATTGGAATGGAAGTAGGAGTCATCATGCACGATCATGATGTCTTTTGAATTCGGATTATGTCACTTCAGAGTACGTGCCAATTCTTCTCATCGCGACTATTATCAGTAGTAAACTACTCGTATCAAGTCAGTAAGCTTGACATAATGAACTATGAAAATATCGTTTTGTTAGTACATAAATTTCAAAGCAATTCCTCATTCACTTCTTAACTTAGGGAGTGTTAATTTAAGGTACCCTATGAATTCATCTCGAAATCCTCTGATTGAAGCAGTTAATCGACAATTAAAGAAATATTCAAAGGTGACAATAATATGCAGATACTTCAAATATTTTCAAAATTGAAAAGTCCTCCCTTAAACCAAGAATGAAAATGGAAGTCCATAAATCCCTTTATCGTTCTTAATGAGGGATACAATTTTATAATTCATCTATCATTCTTTTAAACGAATAGCATGGATGGATTGAAACTTGTGACGTTCATTCAAAATGGACAGAATATATCTCATTTTCACTGTATTGCTATTTTTCCCTATTATCGTGTTAGTATTATGTTCTAATGAAATTTAAAGAAGATATTAATTCATGTTGTATGTAACAATTAGCAAATTTAAATTTAATGCCAAATTGTCTTGAGGCTTATTGGTAGAAATCGAAATAATGTAGGAACGGTGAAAACTGCTCGAGAATTTACCTACAATTGTACTGGAGGAGTCGAATTGACGAATAATAAGTCGGACACACAGAAAAGTGCTAATATTCTCACGGTCAAAATGCCCAGGTATAAAATTAAGGAAACTAAGGACAAATAATTAGAGGCTAATTTATTTTCATGAAATATAAAATGCATTTATAATCTTTATATTTATTGATTTTCTTTTAAATGAGTTGTATAAATGATCGGTTCAACGGAAGATTTCGTCATTTATAATCAATTGTTTGATGATAATCGAGATTTACCTGATTAAATTAACTAATACTTAACCGATAATTCTAACTGGAATGAAGTGAATATGCGTAAATTGAGGATTTAACAATTTCACATCTTTATAGAAAGACAAATTGTTGCGTAAAGCAATTAGTTAGCAGTAAAAGTGTGTATAATAGGAATTTTCACGATTTTATCGATTTATATTCAAAGGGAAAAATGAACTTTGTTATAAGTTGTTATTTAAATAAATATATGCAACATTTAATGGATGACTAAAATGGATGAATAGAGATGAGTTCACTTTTGTAAATCAAGAGGTCGTCGCCTTGAGTGGAAGTAGGGATCGATCAAATCAAAGAAAATCTTGCTCTGTGAAGAGTTGAGGATTCCATTTCTGGAAGGTGATACTTCCATCGTTAATATTTTGCAAAAACTCCACAAAGTCGAAAATCAGGACGACTTCAATTTTTTATGCATTTTATCCAAATGTGAGGGCTTCTTTGTGGATTAGCTTGAAAGTGTTTTCAAGAAAGTATTCCTCAGAATTGAAATTTAAAATTAAGAATCCACACGAATGTCGTCATGTATTATCGCACTGATTTCCTTCTTAATCTTATGACTACGTTTTCAAATTTTCGAGCAATGGGTGGAAGGGTGTTTAATTAATTTATTTATTTATATCAAATGTCAGGGGTTTTGATGGTTATCATTAGCCCTTTAGTTGACGAATCGGATGCTATTTCATAGTCAATTAAATGAATAAAGAATGTTAATCCTCACCTTAAAAAAATTTGCGAACTTTTTCTGTAATGTATTATCTGTAATTGGTGTTCTCAAATGAGAGATAGAATTTATAACTTCTGTAGAGCCACTCAAATGAATTTTCCAGATCTGGCAACTTCAATTTTCTATTTCTTCCATACCAATCAATCTAGAATAAGATAGCCAGTTGAAGTTAATTTCACCACTATTCAAAAAAGTACTCGACTTTGAACAATTGCCGGCACAAATAGTTCAAGAGCATTCGCATACTGATTGGGATTATTTGTTGGACGACCATTTGAAACAACCCAGGCAACCAATTTAGTTCGATTCTTATGATAAGACGGCAACAAATGTGTGACATTTTCTGACAGCATTTGAGAGACATGTTTTTTGGTGATATGACAGTGTTTCAAATCGATGACTTGGTTATATATTGTCGAACTTTTCAAAGTTATGTCAAAAATAAATTCTTTTATTTTTATTTTATAAAGCAAAACATATAAAATATTGTAAAATTAAATTCACTCTGCATTATTTTCTCGCTATTAGTCTATTTCTTTAACATGATTTTCATTGCGCGAAAATATGTCAAATTTAAATAAAACATTCTTCTTCGAGTTATTACCAATTAACTACCCTAATTTTAAACAGCATTTGCAATATATGACTTTTTTGCACAATTTTAGAAATTTAATTCCCAAATGTTAGAGATATTGGCAGATAGCTTTAAAATTAAGAATTTTCGTACTGTTTTGATGGTAAATAACTAACCAAATTGTTGACAATCTCAAAGTGATACTGAATTTTATTAAAATGGCAAGATTCATAAGGTTTACTTTTAGTTCCAACGGATACGTTCTCTTTTCCCATTTTAATCGACAACTTTTAATGAAGAATGCACGTTTTATGCCATTTTTGGAACTAGATGAATGGAAGTCTCCATAATTTATACTTCACCGGCGTCTACGATAATGGTTCAGTAGAACAAAGTTGTAATGACTATTTTCAATTAGAAAGTGAGAAATCTTTGTTAACTGCTTAATAGCATAAACAGATTTTATTTCCCAAGGTCTATTAGTAAATTAAAATTGAAATTTTAATGGTGAAATGAAAACTTTCGAATAATGATTGATTTTAATTCAGTACACACTTTCCAACAGATTTCACTTTAAATTATTATCAGATAGAATTTCGATTTTAATTACACCACCTAGCGGAAATGTTTTTGCTGCATTTCATCACAGTACGAATACGGAATTGATTTCAATTTTATTTGATCAATATACGAGGAAACCATTAAACGACAATTAACAATGAAAACAATGAAGTGTTTGAGGGTGAACCAATTGTTGTAACTGAAGAAAACCCTGAAATATTTATAGTGACTCTCTCTTCTTATCTGTGGCGTAATAACAAAGGTCTTTTAGTTACACCATTGCGAGGGTAATAATATTCGATTGAGTTAAAGCAAATTTCCTCTCATAAAATGTTGTCGTTCAACTTAAAATTTATAGGTATTTCATGATTGTCAATTATTTGAGCGTATATGCCAAAACATCTCTTTTGGCAAAATTATGGTGAAGGTATGACTAAATTCAGTCATTACTCGAAAATGCCAATATGCCAAAGTTTGAAAATGCAATCATGAACATAGTGAAGTCTTCAGTTTACAGGAGGTGATAATTGAGATTTTACGGTTGCCTTTTGCATTCGGATATTCTTTCACCATTGTCTTCTATTGTGTTTGGGTTGCATTGTTAATTTCTTTGTAATCAAAGCTAAAATGATACATCTCAAGAACTGCACATCTTGGTTGGAGACAGTCTTAATTATTCACTAACTGACTCTGAATCGAATTTTAGCACTGGAATGGTACCAATCGTTTTGGGTGCCTACAAGGAGGACTACAAGAATGTTCTTCCACCTCATTCCTACATCAACGTGGATGAATTTGACTCTATTCAGGAACTTGCTGAGTACCTTCAGTTCTTGGACAAGAATGACACTGCTTACGCACAATATTTCGCTTGGACAAAACATGGCCCAATTATCGTAAATTGCGAAACTGGTTGCTCTAGTCAATTTTTACTTTTGTTTAAGATGTTGAACAGACCTGATTGTCGACTTTGTGGAGTTTTGTCAAATACCAATGAAGGAAATATGTTACTCCGAAAACCTAATCCTCAACTCTTCACAGATCTAGGTCATCTTTGTTTCGAT